GGATGTAATGTTAAAGGGGTCATATGATGCGATTTCAAGTTTTCCTTTCTCTTTGGAGTGTTACTAGATTCAATGAGACATCAGAAACAATAAGTGATTGAGCTGTGTCGACTTCTGCAGCTTTTTAGCTACACATTTGTAACACAGACAGTATAATTCAGTCCATGTCCAGGTGTATTTTGGGCCCAGAATCCATTCCGCTTCTACAAGAGCTAATCAAACATTGAGTTTGAGCAGAGTCCACCAAAAGGATATTCCTGAGAGCTATTCTCAAGAGCACCTGCTTTCCTGTTCTGTCCATTTCTGTTTCAATAGACTAGATTTATTACAAAAGTTATTTGATTTTAGAACTTTAGCCTATTAAACACAAAACCCCTTTGAACTCCTGGTTGCTTCACTAAAACACAGTTCAAGGTTCAATGTAGCATCAATACATCTGCCTGACAGATTATCCATTATTTGACTTATTATCTGCATTGGCTGATAACAGTTCCAAAAATGAGTGATTAGACAAGGTTTCTAAGAATTTTGAGTAAATATTGGCCCGTATCAAATGGTGCACCTGATCTGAACTTGTGGCTTTGCTATGGTCGCTGTACGTGAAGTCCAAAAGACAGTATAGTGTCTAATTTGACATTTTAGGTTTCAGAGGTGCTCACGAACACCCACTTTGCCGCCTCAACACAGCCTTGATTTTATGAGAATGAAGTGTAGAAGAAACTCCTCTAAATGGCTCATTGTGCATCCTGAGTTCTTAGAAACACAAGGCATACTTTGTGTGCAGTATCATGGTCACCGTGTCCCTCCCCCCAGCCTCGACCTGTGTTTTGTTTGGCACGTAGATGAGCGCTCTGCTCACTGACACCAGTGTGCTAGTGAGAGTTAGACCGGTCTTATCAGTACCTGCCAGTCTCTCCAATGGTCTCAGTCAGGATATGATGTGGTTTGGGCTGTTGATGGCGAGACACTCTAGGTGGTCTCTGTCCATGAGGGAAATAATTATGGGGCTGGTTTGCTTTGCAAGAATGAGAGGAATGAGTTGAGGTGTATCGTTTAGTCACATCACTTGTTTGATAGCCATATCAATGTCTTCCTTTTGGGTATTTTGATACAATATAGCAATGCTTACTACATGATCACAGCTCCATTGTTTTGAAATAGTCATTTTTCCAGCAATAAGCTGTTTTTTTTTTTTCAATGAGTAGTGGTGTAGCGTGACCAAATGTGTTTTTTTTTCTTTTTTCTTTTGTGACATTGTAATGCAAACGCAGTTTTACAGCCAAGTAAGCGGAGTGAGGCAATAAGGAAATGTGCTCTCATAAATTGTCATCTCAAAGCCTTATGATAAGCACAGGGAAGTTGATTTTAGTGTTCTTTCAGACAGTTCAAAACAAACTGGTTTAAAAAAATTATCAACATATCATAATTATAATAATAATAATAATATGATCATTAACATTTATTTATAATCTTACCAGTAGACTACTTTAATTTGAGAAACTACAGTTTCAAAACAATTTCCTCAACACTGCTTTTTATTTTACTTTATGCTCTTTAAAAACTGAGCTAAAAATTCAAGGAAACTCTAGTCCACACTTATTACCTTCTAGCCTGTTTTTTCATCTTTAGTCTTTTTGGGTCACTGACAGACCTTTTATCAGAGTGGTCATTAGTCATTACTTGTTTGGAGATCTCTGACCCTGCTGTTCTCCATCAGGTGCTAATTAGTCAATCACGAGGCAGTATTTATCTTCCTGTGGCAGGGCAGGCAACCGCTATTTGGCTCATTTCCTTTAATACCAGAGAGGGCTGTAGTAAATTCCATTTTCATCATATTCTCTCTTTTCACGTCACAAACCCAAATAACATCTTTAATGAATAGTTCATGCAAGATGAAAATCTGTCAATATTTACAGGTCTTTCCAAACTCTTACGACTTTCTTTCTTTTGTGGGAACTATTAAGTTCCATTTTAAACATTCATCTGAAAGAGGAGCATAAGTCATGAATAATCTCATGGCTGTTGTATAAACCACAAACAACACTGTGGTTACTGTCCCCTACTTGCAATCTCATAAGCTCCTTTGACTCCTCTGTGGCATCCACTGAGACAAAAAAAACAGGGGTCAAGGCCGTGGGAGGTCAGAGTTTCAACTCTGCACTTCCTCCCTACTGCTGCTATAATCACAAATGGAGACGATTAGCAGATGCCTCTTGGATGCCATAAAAAGGCCTGCCTTAAAAACACACTCCTGAGTGAGAAGCTCTTTGCTCTGAGCATCAACATCTGAGCCCGTGCACAAACACCAGTAAAAGCGTAAGAACACATTAAAAGAACAAGCTCAGCTTAATCAGAATGAGCAGTCTGTCATTTCATTTAAAGTCCAGACGGACAGGCAAATATCCCATGGGAAACTTTATGATTTAAATGCTCACCGGAAGGGCTGTCGCGATAACCGCAATATTGTAATACCGCGCTATTGACGAGCCAACCGCAGAAATTGCGGCAACCGCAGTGTTTCGTTTACGGATCTGCTGTCTGGCGAGAGCTACGTTACAGTGTCTTCAGTCAAACCCGCCCTTAAACTCCTGACAGAAGATATGCTTAAACCATTAAATGAGGATACCACATTAACATCGGACATAAAGCACAAAATGTGCAGTAATCTACAGGGTAAGTATGAACCAGCTGCCTTACACAAACTTTTGGAAAAGGCCTGTTTTTTAGATCCTCGAAATAGGGGCAAATTATATCAATGACACGGAGACAAAATTCAACATCATCGAAGAGATGGTGGGAGAGGACAACGAAGGGAGCGCTGCCAGTGCGTCAGTGGTTGGAGACGAAGGGCAAGCGGTGGTGCTACCAGCAGCAAAGAAAAAGACTCTTGGAGACCTGCTGAAGTCACGGACACCCTCTGCATCAGCGCCCATACCCAAGAGAGCGCGAGCAGATAACGAGCTCATGCGCTACCTGCAGGAGGAGTGCATAGACCCCAATGCGAATCCACTGTCCTGGTGGCGCGATAATCAGTCTAGATTTCCGCTGCTGTCCAAAGTCGCGCGCAAATACATGTGTATTTGTGCAACGAGCACACCGTCAGAAAGGGTTTTCAGTGCCGCTGAAAATATTGTTACCCCCATGTGATCCTCCCTGAAACCACATAAGGTTAATATGTTGGTTTTCCTAGCGCAAAACAAGGACATGTTAACCCAGGTCTAAATCACATTCTTTAACTATTAAATAATATTTTGTTTATTCTCTGTATTTTCACTTAGGCCAACACTTTGTTTTCATGTGATACTTTAGAATTCTTTCGTTTTTCAAATTGGAAAACGGATTTTCTTATTGCTTGTTTTCATTTGACACTTTAGAATTTTTTTTTTATTTCTTTAGTTTTTTTAATTGGAAAAGGCATGTTCTTATTGCTGTTTGGCATTTAACAATAAACAAAAATTTTTAAAACGTGTCTCTCTGTCAGTTAAAAAGCAACACATGCTACATAATAACTCAACAATAAAGCTTTGTATGCAGTAAAATCAGGATAAATAAGGTTTGTAAAAAAAATAATAAATAAATTTTTAAAAAAAACACGGTAATACCGCATATCGCGCTATTGAGCCACCCATAATAACCGCAAGGGAAATTTCCTAACCGTGACAGCCCTACTCACCGGTTGACCCCAGCAGTCAAGAGTTACATGTTTTTCAAAACTTTGAGTCCTGCCTTTCTAAGTTAGGTCGCAAGTAGTCATAATCAAATGCTCATTGTGGCGGTACATTTCGTTTGTATGCATGTTGTGTACTGTTGATAAAGAAGAGCTATAAAGCTTTCCAGACTGCTTCTTTAACCCATTTATGAGGCGACAGGCTTGTGCAACAAAAGTATATTCCCCATCATTCTCTGTGGCAGGCAGCCAGTTAAAGGGAAAATCCACAGATAAAGCAATTACAAACCTAATGCCAAGTAATTTAAAACTGAAATAAAGCCCAAACAAGCACTAATTTAATCTCCCAAAAAAATATTATAGTGAGCATATATGATAAAACCATCTGCAAAATGAATACAAAAAATTAATTACACATTGTATTAAATATTTAATGGTCTAGTTTAATTTATATTCATGAAATTCATGAAAATACTTTGGGAAAAAAAAAGTCTTAAATGTACAATGGCAGAACCAAGACAGCAAACAAGTTATATAACATACAAACCAAGGAGTATAATAATAGATAATAAAGACATCTGGGATATTCCACAGCATGTCAAAAATCAACAGTAATTTCCTGTTTTCCATTAGAATAACCTAGTTCGGGCTTAGTTAATAAATCCCAAGTTTTAATAAAATGTAACAATGGAACAATTTCACTTCAAAATAAAGTTTTACTTTTAAAAACATTCAAAAGTGTTCAAGTTGTTTGCTAGATGGTTGCATAGATATGCACAGATATGGACACTAGATATGCACCTAGCAAACAACCTAAACACTTTAGAAGTGTCCCTTCTTGAGTCTAGGGTACTTTTCAGCCAGTTTAGTCAGCTTGGAAAAAACACAAGCCTGATCACTTAGTAAGTAATATCATAACTCTCCTCAACTAGCCGCATGATTTGAGGTATCATTCATGACTGTAGCACAAATGGTTTAATAGTGAGGGGTTTTGAAAAGTCAGAAAGATTGCAGAACTATACATATGAGCAATTGAAATAGCAAGAACCACTAATTATGCACCCAATAATCAAGCTTAGAATGCAGGGTTTAATTGTAATTATTTGTTCAGTGATAAAAAAAAATACACACTTGATAAAACAGCAAAGAATTTCACTCTAATGCTTATTTCAAATCATGAGATACAACACAAACATTCAGAGCAGGAACTGTGGCACCAACAGTGAGAGAGGCACATTCATAGAGCTTTAACGTAACACCTGAACAACCGCCAGTTCATGAAGGAAGCATTCATACCATGTAGAGCTTTAGTGAGAACAGAAATTGACCTTACCTCTGCAAACCTGACCCCTAGGTATGTGAGAAGGGCCCTGGAAACCTGCAGCTGGATGGCCTGAAGCGCTCTGCTGTATCCTCTCGCCTCATTGCCAAGTTGGCATGTTTTCCCACAAACAGACTCCCAGATTCTGTCAGAGAAGCAGCCGGTGGGTAGAGTCCTCACTATAGCTCTGGTGCCGGTGCACACTGTCTTTTTGATCTTCTGATTGTTCTTGAGGTACCTCCTCACAAGGACAGTAGAGCGCTCTTTCTTGTTACGCACAAACTCGCTGTCAGACACAGTGCCCTCGCTGTCACTACAGTCAGGTACAGACAACATGAAGGGCGTGGACCTCTTAAGGCATCTGCCCTGAGAGCATATGGGTTTGGTTTTCCTGTTGAGCCTTTCCAGACTAGAGAAGCCATTTTTATGGCACACGGCACATACGAAGTCCGTTCTGTCACACAATTTGTTATACATGGCAGTGCCGCAGCCATTGGTGCATCGAGGCCCTTGTGGTGAGGATACTGGCACACTGTTTCGCCTCAAATCCAGCCCGCAGAAGGGCAGGCTCTCCGTGTTTTGGCTGATTACGAGTTCCATCTGGCACAGTTCACCATCCGAGTCACTCAACGTTGGCTGTTCTTCAGCAAGGCAAGTAACATCAGAAGAAAACCCTTCTGCTTTCCTCTGCTGGGGCACCGTTCCCCAGCTTCTAGGAGGAAAGCTATTCTCCGGGCAGCCTTCTTCGCTTTCCACTGGATCGCAAAACCCACACATCTGGCAAATGTACAACCCTTCTTCCCCGTGCCTTGCAGCCCCACAGCTGCAGTTTTTGGACCTGTAGGTCTCATCTAAGCAATCCAAACTCTTAGACCTAGTATCCAAAGACTTCAGTATTCTGCCCTCTGTCCCCAGTAAGTTCCCCTCCAAAGTCCCGAATGAATAATGGACCAGAGCCTGAGGGGATACGCTCACAGGCAAGCCGTAGTTCATGGATATGAGAGCATCTCCATTACTTGCCGAAGTCTCCTTTCCGAGACTCTTCACTCCCAGCACAGCGGATGTCTTCTCGGAGGCCATGGAGCTCATGAGGCCAATATGCGCCTGTCTCTCCACACGAACCCTCATATCACTTGGCACCTGATGACAGATCCTCCTTGCTCAACTTACACCAAAGAAAATGTTCTGGCAAACCACCCCTAGAGAAGATAGCCTTGGGATGAGAGAGTATCTCAGCGGGTCTGTCTGAAGCGGAAGCTTTAGGATGACTGCCGCAGAAAGTGACGGCTGTGTCTTCTCAATTTTTTCACCCCTCCCGACTCCCAAGACCTCAGGGGCTCAGAACACTAGACGAGAGGGGAAGCAACAAAAAATAAAAAATTCAATAAACAACATCTCTTGCCCCACATTATTTTAAGTGAACTGAAAATGTTCACTGAATAAATGAAGAAATATGACAATGCAAGAGCAAGAACATAAACATACTGTAACACACTGGATTTACATGGCCTGGGCAAGGCTAGAAAATTTCTCAATCCTTATCAGAGCCAAGCTGTTTTGTGTCTTACTAGGTGCTATCTGGGGAAGTTGTTAAAATTGCACTTCATTTACAAACGTTGTTTAAAACACTGAAGAAATATTTAAAGGACAGGATGTCCATTTTGACAGCATGAAATGAAAATTCAAATCCACTCATTAATATCTCCCTCTCAGGAAATCACACAGCTGTCCAAAATCTTACTACAGGCTGCAGCCCCACAGTCCTATACAAACCCACGGGTCTCTGGAATGTAAAGCCTTGCTTGGAGGGGGTAGGATGAATGAGATTAAAGGGGGGCATTCACTGCATTGATTCTGGGTGAATTCAGCCAGTCAGAGTCTTCAAACATGGCTCAGTTCCCACACCCACACAGTCAACGATAAATCACTGCGCTAACACAGTGAGGAGTAGTTCTTTCATAACTCAGCACTTGAGTGCTTGTAATCAGACATGGACTTGGTGAAAGGGAAGAGTGTCAAAGACACTACAACACTGCTAAAATTGTGTAGGGACAATCTATTTCTCAGGCTGAATAAAACAATCAATGCTGACTGTCTACAAACTCTACATTTTTATATTTTCTTTTTTTTTTAAATGTGAGTGGTGCAAAACTGAGCAACTATTATGTCGCAAGGCCAGTAGGCCACTGCTTAAAACAGGTGATGTGGTTGATTTATACACCTAAAATTAGGGAACAATTCACCAAAATGGAAAATGCTGACATTATTTACTCATGAGACATGCAAGTGGCATTTTCCAATCACAGACATCACCAAACCACTTTTAAATCTGAAAGCAAATATGTTTTCAGAGCTTCAGTCAAGATCATTTTTATCTGTGAATAATGTCCCGTTCTTCTGTTCTCCACTCAAAACACTTGTATGATTTGGAATAAGGTAAACAATACCTGTGAAGCCATTTAAAAGGTTTTGTCCTTATCTGCACCCAGAATTTATTCTCCAACATTACTAAAGCACATTACATATGCATTCCTGCTGTAGAAAGAGATCACAGGACAGATAAACCTGACACACCTTTGTCCTTATGACAAACTGTCATATGTTCACATGACTTCATGAGGTAGTCTGACTATGAAGCGATGGCAAAATATAGGTTTTTCATTTCACTTTCATTCTGGCCAGTTGTTAGCTGACTGATGGGTGTTCTGGAGGGTTACATACTGGTTAAAAAACCCACCCCCCAAGTCTCTATGAACTGCTGGTCTCTGAACTCGGGTCCCATCGTCAATGTATATAGGGCTGTTCTAATAGTGCATCTGACATTAGGGGTTTAAAGAGCAACAATAATCGCTCGTCTTGGCAAACTCAACTAATTACAGTTCTTTTAACAGCTGTGAAAGCTTAGAAGTACTGCAAGCCTTTATTTGTATATTTTACATTATGTGAGATTGTATCCAATCTGTCATGATCATTTCCTGTGGTCATTTACCAAGACTGACTTGTCAGCCTGCCTGCAGTGGGTGTTATGTGCATTTGTGCCCTAAAAACCTGAACTTGTCAAAGACACCTTTTACTTATCTAAACTATGAACTGTAGCAATAAAGAGGCTGCATATCGTGACTCCAGTGAGGAGGGTGGGGATGAGTGTCTGTTGAGGCATGAGGCCATTGTAATGCTTGGAAATTACGGGAATTCCCACCTCCCCAAATCCACCTCCGCACCCCCTCCTTCTCCCCGTCTTTTCTGAAGCCAGCACAAGCTAATTATCTGATCTAGCTTGATTCTGTTCCCATGCAACAGGCGGCTACAGGAGCAAAGCCTCATCCAGACTTGGAACAGTTCATCTTAATAAAATAAAGTTTATGTGTGGGTAAACAATGCCATCAATGACAACATACATGCAGGTTTAATACAGATAAAGGTAATCTAAGCTAACAGCCCATCATAAATAAAACTAGGTCAGCTGTTGTTGATCTCCAACCAGTGTTACTGCAGTTAAGGCTGGAATACACTACACTTTTACAAAGTCTTTTACAACTTTAACAAACTCAGCAAGTGTATGATGCGACGCCTGATGTTTTAAAATCTGTTCATATGTTAAAACATTAGGCATCATACATTTGCTGAAAAAATAAGGAAGAAAAATAATGACTAATGTCTTTAAGACAAAAAAGCATGTTGAATTGCACTACCTAAAAAATAATGCATTGCATTAACAGTGCTTGCATTTTAATGCCGGAATTTAACAGTTGTTTATTTAAGCAGTGAATATTTTAAATAATAACATTTCACACACATTTTCATAATTAAATATACAATAATTCATATTCACCTTCCAGAGTTCACTTCCAAAATAGTCAATCTGTATAAAAATACAGTGTATAATATTCGACAGGCAATTTTCAGTCCATTTTATTTCACTTTACAAATTTCGACTAATGTCTTTAAGACAAAAAAGCATGTTGAATTGCACTACCTAAAAAATAATGCATTGCATTAACAGTGCTCGCATAATCGAAAATGTGTGAGAAATTATTTGAATTGAAATATTCACAGCTTAATAAAAGCTATGTTGAATTTCAGCCCCTAAAAATGCAAGCCCTGAAAATACAAGGCATTAAAATGCAAGTACTGTTAATGCAATGCATAATATTTTCAGTTAGTGCAATTCAACATGTTTTATAGAGTACCGATGCATGATCTCCATCTGTTGTTAGTCGCATAATCGAAAATGTGTGAGAAATTATTTGAATTGAAATATTCACAGCTTAAATAAAAGCTATGTTGAATTTCAGCCCCTAAAAATGCAAGCCCTGAAAATACAAGGCATTAAAATGCAAGTACTGTTAATGCAATGCATAATATTTTCAGTTAGTGCAATTCAACATGTTTTTTTTTGTTTCAAAGATATTTGTCACTATTTTTCTTCTATAGAAAAACTGGGCATCATACACTACACGACTGAGGATCACACGCTACCTGCAGCCTGTTGCATGAAGCAAGCTGAACAAACTCTGAGTTTCGGAGTAGGTTTAGAGTTGACAAAACCAAACAAATACAACCTGGTTTAGATCAGGGGCCTATACCATGAAGCCAGATTAGCACTGCGTTGTTGAAATCATAAGCGCTGCCATTTCTGTTGCATATGTGAAACATCAAACGGCAAACAAAACTGAAGGCATAGTGCTTAAAGGGGTCATATGATGCCATTTAAATTTTTCCTTTCTCTTTGAAGTGTTACAAGCTCTTGGTGCGTAAAGAAGATCTGTAAAGTTGCAAAGACTAAAGTCTCAAATCCAAAGAGATATTCTTTATAAAAGTTAAGAGTTAACCACGCCTACCTAAAACGGCTCATTCTAACACGCCCCCACATGTCTACATCACAATGTGGGAATATTTGCATAACACCGCCCAAATGTTCACGCAAAGAAAGAAGGCGTAACTTTTATTCTTGCTGAAGTATTGTTGCTGCCGCCATGTCGTGAAGACGCTGTGTTTCGTTGTGAAAGCGAAACTACTTTGCAAAAGAGGACGATATCCGCTTCGTCATGCCTAGAGCTGATCCGTGCTGATCGCTAATGAAATACATCAACTTCACGCTGTGGATCGCTGGATCGGATTTCACCGTGGATGAAGCGGAGTCCAGCCCGGGGTCGTTGAAATACATCAACTTCACGCTGTGGATCGCTGGATCGGATTTCACCGTGGATGAAGCGGAGTCCAGCCTGGGGTCGTCACATGTGGTTGCCGCAAGCCTGCCGGACGCTACTTAGTCGAATCCGCCGGCCTCCACTCACTCAAGGCCGCAGTGTGTTACGCTGTGTTTCGTTGTGAAAGCGAAACTACTTTGTTTGACCTTCCAAAAGAGGACACGACTAGAAATCAGTGGTTAAGTTGTATTTACAACACTGTTCCAGAACAGTTCAACCCAAATATTCAGATGTGTGCAGCACATTTTATGG